ATCAGAGTATTCCTGAAACTTGTATCCTTTCTTTCTAGGGAAAACTTTCAGTATACTTTCTGTGAGCTTTCTCAAATGTCCAGTTCATTACTGTTATCTATAGTCATCATATTTTACAACAGTATACTGGACTTGGAGTTGTTCTTGAATGCCATCTTTGTGCAATTTTATTCTCTTTTCTCAACTGTATTTTATCTTCCATAAAAACACTGTTACGCCTAATCCTTTGTTCCACTTTTTTAAAGGATAAAATGCAAGTTTATGAAGTACTAAGTTCAGCCAGCTGCCTGAGGCTCTCACCTGTAATCCTAGCGACTCAAGAGGCTGAGACTGAGGATCATGGTTCAAAGCCAGCCTGGGAAGAAAAGTCCATGAGACTCTTACCTCCAATTAACCACCAAAAAACCCAGAAGTGGAGCTGTGGCTCAGTGGTAGATAGTGTTAAATGGTAAAAAAAATAAATAAAATATTAAGTAAGAGATCTGGGTCCAAGCCCTAGTACTGGCACATAAAATAAAGTACTAAAGCTCAAGTAAATGTTATTTGGTTTATCTTACAATTAAAGTAGGATATCAAGTTAAGATACAGATTCTGGAGCCAGACTTCTGCATTGGAATCCTAGCTTTGCCCTTAATTGGCTGTGACTCTGGGTAACCTGCATGAATAACTTCCCAGTGCTCAGTTTCTCCACTAAAGTGAAGGCAGTAATTGTTCCTGTTTTATAGCAGTGAGTCAGGTATGACACATAAAGACATATCCTCATATCTGCCATGTAGTATGCATTATATACAATTAGGAGCCACTAATTTTTCCTTTTCAATCCTGAATATCAGTACTATTTTCCATATTCTATACTTTTGCTGTTTTACTCCAAAAGTTCTTTATTCACATTACCATTTGATCAAGTTGTACTTCTATGTTTGAAAGATACTATGTAAACTAGAGTGGAACTCAGTGGGAAAGCTCTTGTCTGACACACATGAAGTTTTGATTTTAATCACCAGTATCACACAAAAAGAAAACAAGAAAAAGATTTTTAATTTTTCAGAGTATCAGTAATAAGTTTCTGTGTGTGTGTGTGTGTGTGTGTGTGTGTGTGTGTGTTTGTGTGTGTGTGAGAGAGATGATATTGGGGCTTGAACTCAGGTGCTGTCCTATGCTCTCGTGCTCAAGGCCAGTGCTCTACCACTTGAGTCACAGCTCCACTTCCAGGTTTTTGATGGTTGATTGAAAGTAAGAATCTCAAGGACTTTACTGTCCCAGCTGGCTTTGAACCATGATCCTCAGATCTCAGCCTTCTGAGCAGCTAGGATTGAAAATATGAGCCACCAACATCCAGCTAGTAATAATGTTTGTAATCTAAAAAGGCACTCAATTCCAGCAAGAAAAAAATGTAAATAATAAGACTAGAGGACCCTTTAAGGACTGGAGTGCCTGATCTCCAATGCTAGCATTATCCGCACTGCCTATTCAAATCTAGTCTTTCCTCTGAACTTAAGAAGTCAGTGACAATTAAGCTGGAAGGAAAACCAACATGTAAGACTTAGAAGAAATTGAACTTCCCTCTTCCAACTCAGAAAATACATTTCAGAAGCAGATCTTTCTCATACCTTCCCTGAGCCGTGGGCCCCAGAAAATTCTTAACTACAACAAGTTAAACAGTGACACTTGTTGCTCCCAACAAATCCTGAATGAGGATTTCCAACGCGTGGGTTCCCGAGAGAGCCAGGACTGATGGCTGCGGGCAGGTGTGGTGTTCTGGTTCCTCCTGGGCCAGAGCTCTGCCCCCTGGACTGGGTAATGTCCCTTACAGGGAGCCGGGGACATTCTTCAGTCACTGGGAGCAATACTGTCTGCTTGCTCCTTGGTGAGGGTATCACACACAGCACTGGCTATGTGCAAAGACAACTTTTGATATCTCAGACTTCATTATTTCATTCACTGAATTTTACCCAAATAAATAGATCATGATAGGTGAAAAGATGGAAAATATCTGAACACAGGCTAAATGTCCTAGCAGCCGTACTTCAGCAGGGTCCTGTAATCTGGACTATTTTTAATATTAAGAGGCACACGTGCTATGGAAAGCATTTTGCTTTTCCATTTTCAACATTCCACATGGTTAGGTTTGGTTGGTTGTTTTCTTTTTCTAATATAAGAAGCGATGTTCAGCAATAGAACAATTTGCCAACGCTGCTTCTGAAATGATTGGAAAAAGCTGATTTTAAATGATTTCTAATGCTTGACTTGCCTTATAAGGTAATTCTTAAAGCACATAGGGTCAAAGTAGCACAAGCTATTTAAAAGCTGTCTTCAGAAGTTTGCAAGCCTAACTGGGCTGTTGTCAGTTCCATGGTCTTGAACTTGCCAACATGCTGCTACATTTCCAAGCTAAGTGTCCACTTCTGTCAGAGACCTTCCCTACCCTTCCCTAGGGTTGCCATGAGAATTTAGTGATGGAATCCATTAAATGAACAACATGGCATCTGAGACATAGTAAATAATCAATAGGGGTGAATTTTAATATCATATTGATAGCAGAAATATCCTTATTAATCCATTCCTTTGAGCAGTAATAACTGCCAGACACCTTAGTATAACTGGTCTAATTCTTTTATGTAGGGAAAAGAAAAGTCTAAGAATAGAAATATGCAATCCATATTGTTGCCTTGGGATTAGGGAACATTTGGGGGCTTTCTTTGAGTGCGTACTTCTTGGTCAGATTCCATCATTCATTCTGTCCACCTGAGTGTGTCTGGGGACGGAAGGCACAAGAGGGTGAACATTCCCCTCAAGAAAGCCTCAACTGGCCACAGGTGTCACCACAGGTGACTCAGACTAGTTTTCACTGGAAAGTTCCAACTTCAGCTTTCCCACCTACCATCCATTCCCTCTTAAGGTCTCACAGATGCAAATGCTGGAGATGACTGTGACCAAGATGAAGCTGCTGGTGACAGCAATTCATACCTACCATCACATTTAATCCTGCCCACAGGTACAGTAAGGCAGGAATTGTCCCTAGTCCCCTGTGACATATAAAGAAATCAAAGCTTTAAGAAGTTAATCGACACAGTTCGTGATAGACAACTAAACTGTAAACAAATCCGATTCCAGCTAGGGCCTTTTATTCTTTCGGTTTGCTTTTTTGTTTATTCTATTTTTCTGATCCTGTAGCTTGAACTCTGGGCCTGGGCCCTATCACTGAGCTTCTTTTGCTCAAGGCCAGCACTCTTCCTCTTGAGCCACAGGGCCACTTCTGGGGGGGTTTGTGTGTGTGTGTGTGTGTGTGTGTGTGTGTGTGTGTAGTTTATTTGGAGATAAGAGTGTCAATGGACTTTTCTGCCTGGGCTGGCTTTGAACCACAATCCTCAGATCTCAGTCTCTTGGATAGCTAGGATTACAGGAGTGAGCCACTGGCACCTGGCTTGTTTATTGTTGTTGTTTGTTTAAACAGCAGTTTCACAATGTAGCCTAGACGTGCCTCAAACTCTAGATCCTCCTCCTAACTCAATCTTCAGAATGCTGGGATTATAAGCGTGAACTATCTTACTTGGCTCAAGACCTTTATTCTTAATTCTTAGGCTATAACAACCTCACAGCTGTTTCCAAGATTGCCTAGAGGAATAATCTAAGTTGTAGTTACTCACTTTGGGTCAACCTTACACAACATTACAGTCTCTCACTTCCTTCTGCCCAAATCATACTTCCTGACATAAAATTCACAGGGACAAGGCACAGAGAAGCAAGTACACAGTGCTACATCCATCAATTCATTCAGTTTGGTTCCTTTTTCCCCCAAGAGCCTTTACTGTACATGCCAAAATACTCCAGAGGGGGGAAAAGTTCTCATAAGAAGATCCCTGATAGAATTGATGACTTTAGACCCATACCCATTAGCCTTCAGCACTAACATAGAGATCATATTGAAGAGCAGTAAAGAGAAATGGTTTGCTCACAGCTACACAACAGGAGGAAATAAAATCTCCAATAAAGCTCAATATGCCCCTAAATCCTGACAGCCTCATTATTTGGGCTTAATTCCTGGTGGCTCACACTTCACACATGAGCTGCACACAGGCTTTCCCAGGCTCAAGATCAAGAGGAATGAAAACTCTTAGAGCTGGAAGAATGGCAGAAAAGTTGACCCTTTCAGCCAAGGTTCATATATATAGTTTTTTAACCAGACGAGATCTCAGGTCAAGGCAAAAATGCTCCCCCAAATACCTGTCAGCAGTTTTCAGTGGAGGAAAAACTACCTTTAAAGCAACTCCCTGAGAAACGGGGACAGCAAATGTGCACATTTGGTGTATGCAGTTTTTAAAAATTAGTGAGTCAGGATCTCTGGGCCATTCCTTTTTTATTTAAATGAAGGGTTGTTTTTTTTTTTTTTTAAATCACCCTTTCCCATTTACATGGCTGGCTTCCTTTGGACTAGGGAATAAAAATAGAGATGTCATCACGAGCCAAACTTTTTTTTGTTGTTGTTTCCTTCCCTGGCATCATAAAACAAGAGGAGAAAAGGCCCTTTTTAAGACTTTTTAAGTCTTTTTAAGTAGCTCTTTGAAAAACAAAACTGAATTCGAGCAGTTGGGTTTCTTTCCCCTTCCCTAAACGGGGAGAAGGAGCAATGTATAGGAATTAGTGGGGTGCCCAAGGAGGCGATCTCTGGGCCCACTGCACCGTCTGCAGCCCCCGTCCCCCGCGCCCCACCCCGCACCTGTCAGAACCCCCGCACCAGCAGGCCGGGGGAGGAGGGCAAGTGGAGCGAGAAGAGAGGATCCAGGTGGGTGAGAGAGAAGACACTGCAGGGGGGCGCAGCTGAGCCCGGCGCGCGCCCCGCCGCGCCAGCGCAGTCCCCAGCAGTCCTGGGGACACGACGACTCCCCCCTCCCCTTCCAAGCCACCCCACCCTACCCCAAGTCTTAGGGACTCGCCCTGGTCCGAGACGGTGAGAGGAAGCGCTGGACGATCACCCTCCGCCGCCGGGCGCGTCTTCTTACCTGTTGATCTTGAGCGCAAAGGCGCGGCGCTCGGCGCTGGGCAGCGTGGCCATGACCCGCCCGCGGTTCCGCGACCTCTAGGGTTGGTGGGGTGCCGAGAGCCGGGGGTCCAGCGCGCCGCCCCGCCGCCAAGAGCGCATGCCGAGCCGGGCGCGAGCCTCAGCTGTCAGCCGGGCAGGGAAACTTCCGCATTTCC